TACTGTCTCCTGATGGTGATTTTAATGTAAATATGAATACTGAAGAAGGAAGGTGACGTCTTGAAACACGTATATAGGCAGGATTTGAAAACCACTCTGACGACAAACGTCAAGTTGAGTCGGTTCTTTGCAACCCATGTTTTCAAATGTTGCTGCGTTTATCGGAGTTCAGAAAAAAAAATCATTTGACCAATGGGTAACCAGTGATCGTAATAAAGCGATCACACTTTTGTTAAATCTTTTTTTTTTACTTATTTATTTCATTTTTCTAAGTCTCTATAGGTCTCCTATCCCGAGTTGACTTGTATAAAGTGACAATCATACGCACCGTGGAATCAATTAAATCGAAAGGGAATGAAAGTAGTCGGAAGTCGAAGTGTAAAAGAGACAGAGAAGTGAAGGAAAGTGAGTATGTTTTTGTTGCTTCGCTTACCACTTCCCGATACCAGAAAGGCTGTTTTGGAAAACAAGCGAATTTGAATCAAATGGTGCGTTTCTTGCTTTTTAATGGCGCCATCTATGGCCAAAAATACGTAATTAGCCACATGCATCAGAGCCTGTTTTACATGTAGGACCCATTCATGCAACCCTTTAATCATCCAGTGATCGTAAGTTTGACCTGAACCGGAGAACGATCAATCTCCATTTCAGTACTCCCGCAGAGGTATTGATTTGCTATGGAAACTTGGGGGACTTTGTGACCTCTTTAGATTTAACGTGCACCAATCACCATTTAATAAACGGGGATTTTTTTGGCCGGAAGGATTCGAATGGTAGGATGATGCCAGCTATCTAATATATAAAAAAAGGAGATACATTGGAGTGTAAAAAGAACAGAGAAATCATCCTGTGAAGCACAGCATTTAAGTAATTATAAACATTTAATACAAAACGACTACTACCATATGCTATAAAAGTTATTGGAAATTGGAAGAAGCTCAGAGAGGGAGACCAACGATAGACCAGATCCGCACAATAAGACAAATCCTGAACAAAAGACAAAAGAAGTTTAGTGTTGATGTGTACCATACATTCATTGACTTTAAGGCAGCATATGAAAGCATAGATAGAAAAAAATCATTATATGCTATACTCGAATTCAAAACACCCATAAAACTGGTAAATCTTACAAAGATGATGCTAAAAAAAGTTAGATTCAAAGTAAAACTAGGCATTAACCTATCAGATTTATTTATTTATTTATTTATTTTGAGGAAAAGAGTAAGAAACAGAGAGATTCCTCGTCATGTCCTTTATTTATATTGCATTGGAAAAAGCAATAAGAGACGCCGGTTTTCAATTACAATCAGCTATTTTTAAAATTTTCATTCAAATATTGGCTAAACAGGTGATATTGGCATATTTGGCAGAATCTGAAAGGTAATGAGTGAGGTTTTCTATGCTTGAACTGACAGAGAAAAATATTGGATTTATAATTAACAACGAGAAAAGAAAGTTTCTGACAGTAACACACAAAACCCCTGATCTACAGAGCGCAAAATACAGAATGAACCACCCTGAATAGCTTTTGATCTCATGATAGCGTCTACGTTCTAGGACTCAATCTTAGTGGTTTGAGAGATTGACCTCAAATATGCTGATCAATTAGAGCAGACGGTATTTTAAGATACGAAATCAAACACAAAACGTACCTTTCTCTGAATAAAAGTAACCTTTTTTTCCCGACGAATTTGAATTTCAGACCTTCAAAATAGCTGAAATCTGAGAAATATGGTTCCCATCATTTGATCAGGTGAGCGGTCCAAAGTTTAGATCCCTTAATGTTTTTTTTTTTTTTAATATTCGCCATATATCAGAGTTTTTAAAATTAATTGAAAAATTTTGCACATAATTATAAAATTTATTTTTTCAAATATGGTTCCATGCCAAGAAATAGCTTTTAATAAATAATTATTATTTTTATTATTTTATTTAATAATAGTCGAAAAATTTTGAATTGTAATATATGCGGGTTTTTTATTCATCATTTTATAGACATGGCAAAATACAAATTTTCGGTGAAATCGGACGAATTGTTAGTGAGAAAGCGAATTTTAAAGAAGCTGTATTTTTTAAATAAAATTTTTCAGGAACTATTTGAAAGATTTAGCATGAATTTTGTATTTTGACTTTAAAATTACATTCTTGAAAATTATGTAAAACTTTTTATACCGTACTATTTAAAAATGTTTCGATACCTTTCAAATAAAATAATAAAAAATAATAAATGTTTACTAATATTTATATTTTGTATTGAATTATCTTTTGATAAACGATTGTTTTTATTTGTGTGAAAAAAATTTTAAACTCGCTTAAAAAGTTCTCGATATATGGCGAAATACACAATAATAAACAGTTAATACAAATTATTTTTTTCGTGACATTATCGTGACATAAATGAATTCTATAATTGTGCTCAAAACATTTTCAATTTACTTAAAAAAATCGTTAAAGAAAGAGAAATAAGCAAAAAGTAAAGTTAACATTAACGGGTCCAAACTATGGTGACCATATTTTCCAGATTACGGCTACCCCCTATACGTTAGGGGTCAGAAATTCGAATATATCGTGAAAAAAAAGATGTTTTCATTCCCAGAAAGCACGCTTTTGTGTCTAAATTTGTAACTTAAAATATCGCCAGCACTAATATATTATATCTATATATTATATCTATATATTATATCTATATATTATATCTATATATTATATTATTGTATACCATTAGATTGTTTGAGCCATTGGACAACTGTTGCGGTGGATGATTCCCGATGAAAGAATCTTTTGAAGTAAACCTTGGCCTGCAACAGACTGTACAGCTACAGAAGAAGATTATTGATTTTTTGTGTGCGATACATTTTACTTCTTAATTATCAGTACCGTTTAAGTAGATGTAAGTCAGAAAATTAAATATTTCGACATTTAATTAAGTTTAATATAAAACGAAAATTAAAAAAAATTATAAACACTCATTGCGTTGACATAAGAGTTTGAATAGAGCCCTACAAATTATTGTTGCCCTTGAGATTCATTTATTGCATATTCGCTACGTGCACCTCTCATAATTTTCAAAGTGATGTTTATACGAGTTTTAGAAATATTATTCAAAACATGTCCGTTGAATGAATGATTTGCTGACCTAAATTTTTCTCCTAAAGTTAGAAATAACAAATAATTTGAGGTTAAAAATAGAAGTTCTTGTTTTCAAATCTAGAAATAAACAATAACCAGGGTGAAAGGAAATGTCACGTTTTCTTAGCGTGACTTAAAGAAAACTTGATAATTGTTTTCGCAAACTTTTCATATAATGAGTGGTCCCGTTAGTTAACATGTCCAATATTTTCTCCTGTGACGATAAATATTTTTAGAAAAACAATGCTTATGTTGTACCATGCGTGAGTGGCTAAATTGGAGAAGCTTAAAATATGCTCGTTTATTTTAAAACTATTTGTAAAATAGTTTCAAAATGTGTAAATATTCTATTATTCTAAGGGAAAAGTGAACTATTGCTGGAGCAAAGGGTTTATAAAATAAGTGTAAAGACGTAAGCAGCGATTGTTGGTGAGCGTGTAGTTACGCACGCGATGCTCTGATTTGGAAGCTTTCCAAAATGAATTTTGTTCCATTAGTCTTTCATAATAGTATAGAAAATTATGAAGTAAAAGGTACTTAAAACAATATTTTTAAAGCCCAAATTGAACATTTTTTTAAAAATAACTTTTTTTGAAATTAGATACAGATAGAGAGTTATTTTTAACTGGAAATAAATACTATATAATAATATTATAGAAGAAAAAGAAAAAAAATCTGATGCGCATGGAGATTACACTTCTGGTAAAAACAACAATAAATTTATTGGTTATTAAGCCAAATTATACTTTGTTTGAAAAATTAATATGATAATTATTTAATTAATGGTTTACCGAAATTCTGGTTTTCAAAACTATAGTTCTTATTATCGCATATTTAGTAAAAAATGCGAACTGAAAATTAAATTTTACTGAATAAATAGTTTTTATGCCGCGCTCTAAGCCAATTTTACCACATTTATCTCATAATTTTATCACATACAAAAAAAAACATGCCTCTCAGTTAATTTTACCAAAGTCATTACCAAAGTAATTCGGAAAAAAATATCAGGTTTTTTGTAGAAAATGCCGTAAATTTTACCATATTCTGGTAGTTTTGACTATGCATTTTTTTCTCAGTGTATAAATTTGTATTTGGTTATAGATTATATTATATATCGTATACTTATAAATTATATTATATTATATGTTACATATATTTTTATTCTGACATATTTATATTGTTTTATACTTGTATTATTGCAAGTTATGAATTGCGATTCTGTCCGGCAGTAGTCAAACAAGAGAGAGAATTGTGATTTCTGCTGCTATTATTTAATATTAAGTACCATTTATTTGCTCTAGTTAATATGTTCTGTTACTACAGCAACTGTCTTTTTTCCTTCTCTTTTCTTTTTCTTTTTTTCTGTTTGCATTTTTGTTTAAGTATTTTATACTTGATATTATTTATACTTGATATTATTTATACTTGATATTATTTATACTTGATATAATTTATCCTTGTTATATGAAAAATCTGCATAAATAGTGTTTGTTCGTATTTGTTCTTCCATTAGTTCTTTTTTTTCCATTAGTTTAAAAACATTATTAATGCATTTTTACCATGGATTAAATTCAACGTTGAAATAAATATAACAATATGAAAAATGATTAAAAAATTGAAATATTTAATATAAATCGTAATATGGTGCGCACAGACAAAACAAATAAGTAAAAAAAAGTATTAAAAAACATTTAAAGCAAAAAACGCGTTGTCTTTAAACAAAAACGCGTACATTAGAGTGGAAACTCATTAGATATATCTCTGTAGTCCATAATTGTAATATTTTTGCTGGTGTCAGCCCTAACTATTTAGAGCTACTTAGCCAAAAAGTTCAACGTGGCTCGAGATACACTTTTTGTTTTTAATTGGTCTTTATTAAAATTTTTCAAATTTATTGTATATTTTTCCAAGTGAGTCCTTACATTTCTTTTAATATTTTTTCTACTTGCTCTAAATTCTACTTTATTGTTTCTTATGCAGTCTAAATTACAATACATTTATAAAAATAAGTTTTATGAAAAATATTACAATTTAGGTTAAGATACATACAATTTGGTCACTTATTTCACTTGCATATTTTCTTAAAAATCCTTCAAACTACGTCTTGCTTCTTTTATCAAACTTTATTTTTTAAAATCATGAGAGTCTTCATCTTTTAAACTACACATATAAACATAATTATCTATATTAAATTATCTTTTATTAGATCATGAACAAAATTTAGCGATAATTAAATTTCAATATTATGTTAAAACGGCACTACGAAAACTGTAATATACTTGCGAACACTTTGTAGATATAATATGTACTGTATATATTTTCCCATTATTGTAATTAATTGGATAAACCAACCATTTTCGAATGAGTGTATATGAAATTTTTTGTTGTTAACACTGTTTAAATAGCAATGGCCAGACAAAATATCAACCGTTTAAAAATCTTTATATGTTAGAATCATCGTTATTATTTCATTTTTTAACCGTTATTTTTTAATTATGCGACAGTTTGGCGACAATTAGTTTGGCGACAAATTTCAATAGTAAAATTTTGCTAAAACTGAATCTCTGGTTACAATCAGGGCTGTCTCTTTTAATGATGGGTTACCACAATTTCTATTTACAGTTATGTGATTAGTTCTTGGTTTATTTTTATATGTTTATATATCGGCATGTTTACAAATAGCTAAATATCAGAGGGGAGCCCAATTCTACACTTTAATTGAATTCCTTTGTGTCCAGATAACCGAAAAGTACAAAAACTTTTACCTCAGCACATATACATATTAAGTACATATGAAAGTTCATTATGTGCCTACTAGAATAGTACTCTTTATATATTTCCTGTAATATCTGACACAAATATTCATTAATCACCACTGGTGTCAATAATAGTTTGGTGATCATATTTCGGTACCGTAAAGCGGACAAGTACCTCTTCAAATGATACCTATTTTTCAATCGGCTATTTCTTTGTTTTTGTCAATGTTGAAAAGAAAACAGTAGTGATCGTTAGTGCTGGTATTTACGCATTATCTCAACAACCATTTTCGCCAATATCACGCCAAAGTTATTTTGGTGTCCTTCAGATTAATTTTAATATAATAATTAATTTCAAAGAAATTGACAAAATACAAATAGAACTTATGCAAAAAGTAGGAAAAATAAGGAAAAAAATAAAGTATAAAGAAATAAAGAAAAAAAGTGTAAAAGTAAAATATTTAAATTTTTATCATTTCTAAATTTATTTTCAAATTTGACATAATGGTCGACGGGATAATACTTAACTACCCGTTAGCTGTCTCCATAAAATATTTTTGATTCTTCAAAGGCACAAGTTTCTCCTCTATTTTTAGTCAAAAAACATTTTATGGCACGATATAAAATTCTTAAAGTTCCTTTAAGAGAAAAAACACTTTAGATGCTTGGATGAAAATCTCGAAAATGTGAAGTATTTTCATTATCTAAATAATTAATATAAATTAGTGTGCCATTTAAAAAGGCATTTTTTTTAAATTTTCTAGACAACATCAATGATATTATTTTTTCTATTAACAAACAAGGAAAATAGCTTATATTATACTTGTTTTATTATATTCCGTAATAATAAAAATTGCTACACTAATTTTATGCGGAAAATCTTTTTATAAATCAGATCCACTGTTCTATAAAAATTTATGTATTTATTGTAAAAGAGATTTGTGGAATATTTATTTAAAAACACAAAATAATAAAATTAAGTAATAAATATATATTGTTTGCTCCAAAATTTATTTTTAATGATATGAAATTGCCCTTTAAATCTGTGTTTTCTTATGGATGAAAAGACTCAAAAATATATTTTCATCTTTTTCACGCAATAACATTTAAAATAAATGAGTTTTTATGCTTCAAGTAACAAATCATATTGCTTGACATATAGCGAGTAACAAATCATATAGCGAGAGATAATTCAACGTAGCAACTGATATAAATACGTAAAAAAAACATATTATAAAATGTATTATGAAACAGATATCAAAGTCTGAATATTATTAATTTTCCTTGTTTGGAAATTCATTCTAAGAAAGTTCGTTTAGATTTTTTATTATTGGTTGTAAGAAATTAAAACCTTTGTTTTTTTAATCGCCTTTCGTGAAGACAAAAATCAAAATTAATTTTTCAATCAGTCCCTGAGATATGTTTGATTGTTTCTGAAGTCTATTTTTCTTTTTCTGGTAGTCTATTTTTATTTTAGAAGCAAATAACATTAAAAAAAATTTGTAAATAAAGAGTATTAAGAGGGAAAAATGAATATGGTTATGATATGAAGCGCTTTAACCAGGTGGTGTACAGCCTCTTCGATAGTTATTACTGCACCATGCTACGGACTCAAGTTCCCTTGTTCAATACCAGCTGGCAACAAGCAGACTTTTTCTCATATTCTTCGTACAATTGGTGACCACGGACAACACGCTACTCTCTCAATTTCCAAAGAGAAAGCAGTACTACAATATTTCTCCATTGTTTTCTTCTATTAGACAAACAAAGCACTTGAGTCTTAAACAACTTATCTTAACTGAAAATGACTTTCTTGCGCGTAATGTTAATTTGAGGTCAGTGGTATATATTTTACGAGAAAAAAATTTCCGGGCAGACCTGTATTTCAATGGTTATGTTCGTCCTACAGTAGTGAATTTATATTTACGGTTAGTGACTATAAAACTTTTTATGGGCCACTGACAGTAATCTGGCAGAAAAATTTTGACGGTGAGTATACTTTGTATTCCTTTGACAAGGATTCTGAAAATTAATATTAAGTGCGGTCTTTACGGAACTCTGAAAAGTTTACAACGCACTCATATTTACACATTCTTTAAAGGGGAGTAAGACGTATTCGGTGCATAATGTTTTCTCAAAATAAATATATTTTAATTACTATCAAATATGTTTCGATATTGTTCTTATAAAAAGTACATGATGCCATTTAATAAAAGTCAATTTAAATTCAAATGTATATACATTTATTTATTTTTTTTGAAATTTTTGAAATGTAATTCTTATTGGAATTCGTCGAATAATAATGTATTTTTAAAAAGAATTTCATAAAAAGAATGCATAAAAAGAATTTCTTCTAAACAAATTCAAATAAAATTTGAATTGGAATTAAAACTATAGTGTGAGAAAATTAACTTAAATAAAACGATTTATTTTATGATATATGAATAAAATATTATATCAAAGTAAAATTAGTTGGACATTTCAGAAACTTTTGGGGAAAAATATTTTTTACGCTAATTTTCTGTTTAAAATAAAATTATAATAAATAACTAAATTGTAACTAGTTTAATATTATGCTACTATGTATGGTGTTTATATCAGCATGGGAAATTTCCAAAAGTTCGAATTAAGCGCAGTTTTATTTGTAAATTCCCCGAAAGTTGTAAAGAAATGCACGTGTTACTTTTTAAAAAATTCATATACAATAAATGATTTACATTTGGAATAAAATTTGACTTTTTAAAATAACTTATAGTATTGCGGTTTCACAAATACAATATTTAAGATATTGATAGGTATTTGCAAGAAAATAATACTTTTCCTTTATGGTAAAATAATCATATTTTTGCTCTCGACACGTCCCTTCCCTTAGTAAATTTTATGAAATGTACAGAACGGAAGAAAAGGACCACCCTGAATAAATTTTGATTTAATAATCAGATTTTCAAATTTCAAGACTCAATTTTAATGGCTCAAGAAGGTGACTTCAAATATGCTATTTAATAAATCACATCAGACACAAAAAAGTACTTTATCTGACTAAACATACCTTTATTCGACGGATTCGGATTATTAACTCCTAAAATATAAAGGTTAGCCGCAATTTAGGAAATATGGTTCTCATAGTTTGTTCAGGAGAGCGGTCTAAAGTTTGGACTTCTTAATGTTAATTTTACTTTTTTGCATATTTCGCTACATCTAGAGAACTTCTTTTAACGCATTGAAAAAATTTTCTACACAATTATAAAATTCGTTTGATCAAAGATAGTTCCATGCAAAAAATAACTTTTAGTAAATATTTATATTTTTGCATAGTTTATTTAATAATAGTCGAAAAAAAATTATGGATTTTAAGGTATATAACTTTTCGCATCATTTTAAGGAATGTAATTTTACATAGCAAAATTAGAGAAAAATTAGTCGAATAGTTTCTGAGAAATCAAATATTAAGAATCTGACTTTTTAACATTCAATTTTACAGGAAGGACTCGACTAATTTTGCAAAATCAAAAGTTTTGTATTTTGCTAAAGTTTTGTATTTTGCCATATAAAATTACATTCCTTAAAGTGATGCAAAAAATTGTATATCTTCTGAAAAGAGCAAATTAATTGTATATTTGTTCATTATTTAATCCACAAAAAATAATTTTCTTTTCTTTAGATAGATATTTTCAGTTTGATGTAATAGATAGACTCAGTATGCCTTGCTGCGATAAACATGATTTGGAGAAATCTGCTTACAAAAATTGCAACAACTATCAGAAAAATCAATCACATAGAAGCTGCTGCAACTCTTGCTGCAAGTATAAGTACGATAACATATCTGCAAAATCCAAAAACTTCTAAAACAACAATAACATGCTACACATAAATATTTCCTATCGAGTATATGTTCATTAAATACCTGAGGATATTTTAAAAGATCTCTGAGATTTTATTTAAATTCATAAATTCTGAAGAACTTCCACCTGCTGCTGTGCAACTTGCAAAGTCGGTAGCGGCTTAATGACTTTGTGATTGATTCCAACTCACTTCATTATTTCTTTAGGCAAACCTCAAACGTTTAGTTTTATAAAATAATATTGTCAAGATTTCTAATCTTAGCTTATTTAGTAGGACGATCTTTTATTTAATGGAAAAGTTGAACAAATTTATATGACAAACAAAGTTGTTTTTGGTGTCTTTTCCAAGTAGTGCAGAGGATTAAGACAGCGCCGAAGGCGTCAGAAACAGTCCTGGTAATGTCACAGACCCTTGGCGAATAAGGCAGATGATAGTCTGTGGGGTTTGGGTTCATGCTGTAAAGTTTAGCCAGAGTAAAAGGACAATTAAAAATATGACCTGGAGAAAATTATGACAAACGATAATTTAAGTTACTTCATACTTTTATTGTTTCATTACTAACAATAAAAGTATGAAATAACTTAATTGACAAATTTTCTATTCTTCTTTCAAAATGCATTGTTCAACAGTAATGTTTATTTAATAACTGTGATTCAATGATTTTACAGAAAATATTACTGTTAAAAAATTAAGTTGCGTATCAGGTATTTGTTCCGTAAAAATAAATTTTTTGATAAACAGTACTTGTTAACGGTAAGGGGATTCTAAGTCACAGTCAGTCTATCAATGAGGATATTTTCCGTCTGCCCTGAGATCGGTGCAAGCTGGTTGCGGAATTCGTAGCTACCAGCCATCGAACTATCGATGGGATTCGAACCCGGGTCACCTAATTGGGAGGTGAGTGCTCTGTCCCCTGAGCCACCTTGGTTTGAGATAGGAGAAATGCAGGTGCCAACACAACAGAGCAAAATTGATTGCGATCATATTCTCTCCGAACCAACTCTCGAATATTATCATGTGTCAGGGAGGCATTTTCTTTCGAAATATCCAGCATTACACCAGTAGGAAAACTCATTAGTATTACAGAATTTACGTCATAAAAATTACGTTATCAACGATGTTTTGATTTCATGTTTTGTTCCGATTACAATGTATATGAAGTAAAAACCTAAAACATGCCACAAATTCATTTTCTCTTTTATACTACTCTAACTTTCTAGACTACCCTAAGACACAATGATTCATGTGCTTTAAACTGCCTACTGATCATATTTAAGTGGCCATTGTAAACTTCGGAAAAATGCTCATTTAAATAGTTCTTTGTTTTCAGAGGTCAAAGACAAACTAAAAGGGAATCTGCTTTTGTGTCAATTGAATATGGCTCTCCCAAAACTTCAAATTTGATGCGCGAGAAGAGATATAAGCCAAAAAAGAAGAGACAACAGATTTGCCAAACAGGCCAGCAAAGAATGAACAATCAGATGCAGCTCTGCCAGCCGGAAATATGTGAGTCTTGCTCCAAACCTGTGACCTATTATGCATTCAAATGCTGTGGATGTGGTTGTCAGTGTTTTGATTCCAAGCAACATACGTACGTCATTGGTCCCAGTATGACTTGCTATGGTAACAACGAAATTCGCGATATGACTGTGAATAACTTAAATTACACGAACTAATAAAATCCGTTTTGGTGAAATTCTTTAAATAATTGTTTTCAGTAATTTCATTTTATTTACCACCAGAATTTGAATATTAAGGATATTGTCTTTCGAATGTAAGAAAGGGAAAAATTTTACCCTTATCATTCATATAAGAAATTAATTAAACTTAACAAGCTTTCTTAACAATTTAATAGTAACCAAATCACCTAATAAGTTTCCTGAAAATGGTGCTTCAAACTTAAAAATTTGAAAGCCATTCCAATTATTCTAGCATTTTAAAAGTCATTTTCTAACAAAATTATTTCCATTAGAGACTAACAAGGGAAACTAGGGAAGTGTGACTCGCCAATTTTGAAATAAACTAGTGGGATGTATGCTTTACGAGGAATAATTTTAGGGAGCAACATTCGTTTCAGCCCATAGAAGGTCCTGGAAGGATAAAAAATAATTCAATATATAGAAAAATCGGTATTTTATTACTTCAATGCAAACTATTAGTTATTGTAATTGTCTCATACTACAATTAATCTGTAATTAATTGGTAAACTAATTATTAAATAATTATTAATTAATTATCAATTAATTATTAATTATCAATTAATTATCAATTAATTAATTATTAATTATCAATTAATTATTAATTAATTAATTATTAGTTAATTATTAATTTATTATTAATTTATTATTGATTAATTATTCATTAATTAATTGATTGATTTGCAATTATGTACTCCAATTAATTTAGAAAATTTTTTGAAAAAAATTTTTTAAAAATTTGATGTTAATTTTTTTTTTAAATTAACCTAATAGGTTTTTTTGAAAAACTACAGACATATAAAATTTTCGAAATCAATTTTGACAATAAATATGCATTATATAGTACGTGAAAGTACCACAAAATTAATTGGAGTNTATTTCAGTAATGTTTTTCTTCTGAAATATACCTTTACAGTAACAAATGTTCCATTGCAGTCTATTTAAGCAGCCAGCATTGGAACTGTATACAAAAGTATTAAATATCTTATTTTACTTTAATGGGATACCTGCAAGTGACGTAGTGAGGGTATCTCGATCCTGATTGGTGGTTGAAGTGTGGCATTTGTTTACGTTATCTTACTTAACACAAAGACAGACATGAAGCCATGTAAAACATAAACAAACTAATTATGCATTGAAGTTGCCAGGCACACAAACAAAAATATATCAGAGTTACAATGAAATACATAAACAAATAATAAATCTAAGTCAAGCAAAAGAAGTATTCGAGAAAGAATTATATTTCAACTAATTTGATGTGTGATACGGTTCTGTGCTTAATTAACTTATCGTTAATTAACATTCTAACTTATGTAGAGAAAATTATCTCAACTTTAACATGCCATTTTGTTGATAAAGATTAGCTATCGCTGACGTCATAGGTCACGTGTGTGGGTATAGAAGATCTTGTTCTTCGTAAAATGCAAGTACCTAATTGTGAGAAAAATATTTTTATTACTTATAAGAAAAGTCGATATACGAGCTACTCGTACCTCAGATCTAAGGCTTGATAAATTGCGAAGGTTAAGGCTTGAGAAAGATTCTTTGAAAAATATTCTGAAAATGAAAAATAATCAATATTTTCTCAATACAGAAATATCGAACAGTAACTACTTTTTTCAAAGTAACGGTTTCCTTTTCAAAACTTAAATGAGTAAAAAAATAATTGTTACTCTCTGATGATAGAAATATTCATTTTCAAAATAAATCATCTTGCTTAAACAGTTATTTATTCAGCGTTACTTACCTTTTGTCATATTATGAATATCTTTTGAGTGATTTTCTTATGATGCTAGAACAATGGTTTTGAGTAGATTAAATTGCACGAAAATGAAGCACACGTATTCGCCCCCCATTGTTGAACTGTGGTGCTTCTTAAATTTTGTTGGTTGCGATAAAAGACTTTTGCCAACATCATGTTACAAAAAAGTAGGAATTGAATAAATGGCGAAATTGTTAAGTGGGAAAGTGACTCAGACTAATTGTATATACCCACTCTTAGGTTTTTATATCGTGTTCAAGGTGATAAGAAAGGTTTTGTTAGCGTCATTTGAACAAAATGGGAAACTTTAACTACAAGGTAGAGCAAAACGAAAAAGGCGAACGTTATTTTGCTCCCCACTAGTCATCTATAGTGGTTCTTCAATCTTATTGATGACGATGAGGAACGATGAAGAACGTACTTAAAAAGTACTTTAAAGGTTTTTATTTTTTGATGAGAGATTTGGTCACGTACCCTGTTTTTTACACCATATGACAAACAAACGAATAAAGGTCTGGTTTCGTAGGACAAGCACCTTATCGGGGTGCAAGCGGGACGTCAACGTCCCGCTGACGCCAACAAAATACTGGTTTGTTAGATCAAGACCTGGTTTCTTAGAACTAGCGCCTTATCTGGGCGTCAGCGGAAAGTTGATGTAGAGCTGACGCCAAAAAAATACTTTTTTGTTAGCCCAGCGTGAGCAGTCGGTTCAACGCAGGTATTATCTCTTATTGCGCATGCGTTAATAACGTAAACAAATATTTATTTTGAATTTGTATTGGTTTTGCTATTGTCGACCAGTGTTTTAGAGAACAAATAATGACTTTGTTCAAGAAAAAATACATTATAGCTGATCTAAATGAAGAGTGCTATGTTTAATTAAGAAGCTATGTTTAATGTCAAAATCAAAATCTTGGCTGATTTCAATGTGCTGTTGGATGTTGTCCGCCATCGCTTCTGTGGTTAACGTCACGTTGCAATCCAACTGCAGTTGAGTTGGACGGCAATTGTAGTTCAAGATGAACGTTCGATGACGTATACTATCAGACTCACAAATGGACCAATCAGAGGTTAGCGCTGATTTCCAGCTGACGGCGTCATGTCCTAAGAAAGAAGAGTTGGATTGAATGACTAAATTGTTGCATTTTTATGATTGTGTAAAATGGAATTTGCTATTGATAACAATACAATTAATTTGTTAAAAAGGTTTTTATTCTAAGGTTTTGAGAATTCATTTTAACTTTTACTTTTCATTTTGTTTAATCTTTATTTTGTTAAATTCATCAATATAAATTGGAAGGAAATAATACTTATCTTATATTTGACAGCTTTTCACATCAAAAATAATTTTTTCTCACTCTAGAAGACTCACCCCCTACTCACTTTACTCACCAATTCCTGAGCTTGCTTCTCATTTATGTTATGTAAGTCAATATTTACAAACAAAAAAAGAAAATATTTGGTTAATATGTTGATCTTAACGAAGTAAAAAAATTATCGGTACATCACTATAAGAAATAAAAAATCGCGGCTTTTATACCTTTTGATTTATGTCTTATATCCTTTTAAAAATTTCAGTATCAATGTTAAGATTTATATCTGGCATTATTTAATCTCTTACTCACTCATTCCTTTTCTTTCTTTCTTTTTTTTGGGTTGCCTCGTTTGATATAAACGGAAACACGAGCTTATAAATGAATATTTTGAGGGAAGAAAATACACTTTTTTACAGCTCTGAATAAATAGTATTTATTTAAGACGAAAAAATTGGGAGAAAAATTCGCAAAATTTTGAACAAATTGAGGCTCTGAAACAAAAAAAAAAATTTAAGTTTATGAATGAAAAATATTTCAGCGCGTCAAACTTTAACTCTGTAGCTTCAGATTTGCTGGCTGCAGAGTGGTCTGCAGGATATTATCTGTAATCCTTTAAATAATAAACTAATAATCGAATGCTATTTTTTTATCTTCTTTGTACTTCTTGCACATTTTTCAGCCCATTGTCTTTAAGTTTTATAGTTTTTACGCTGAAACACAAAATACAACGTTAATTTAAACACCTGAAACAGTGATCTTGCTTAATATTTTTCTAATATACAGAGCAAACCTATATGCCTAAAGTATATGCGTACACTTTCATCGTATAATGCATGAAAAAATCCTCATATAATTAGTATGTTTTCTTTCCTTTATCACACGATGTTAATTAACTTGTTTGAATAAACGTGAAATATTTCCGTAGGGAGTTTTTCTGAATTTCCCTTTAGGGAGTTCGTAACGATGCTATTCTTGTATATTGCTTTGATTTTTACTTTTTTATGAAAAAGAAAAATCATTTTTAGCAAAAAAATCTGCATAATCATTTCATTTGAATGGCTTATTTCCCCATCTCAAAACTGAGTTGTTATTGAGGTTCATTCTTTTGTAAATTTTCGTTAACATTGAAATAATAATTTCAATTTTTTTTCTGTCGCCGCATTATCTGAGAAATTGTATTTTCTTCTTTGTTTTTTCCCCTCTAAACTTGAGAGAAGGGAAATGTTTGAGCATAAGAAATGCGGGGATATTTTAATTATTTGCTTCTATGTTTTCCAAAAAAATATTAAAGAAAAATAAAATTACTATTTTTTGCAAACGTTTGAATACTATTTTTTGCAAACGCTTCCTGTTCTTCGATATCCGAACAAATTTTTTTTTTGTAATAATGATATTTTTTACGTATAATGTGTTTTTTAGTTATTTCTTTAAATTGAGTCTTCTTATTCTCACAGTATTTAAATTAAACTTATGTAAAGGATTGAAATTTTAAGAGAATTGGAAATAATGTTTTTATTCATCCTGATATAAAATAAATTTTAAATGTGTGAAACATTTACTTCATTTAAAAACAATTACGAATAATATTTTGTTTTATTTTCATTAAATCACAGAAATACTTAAATCTATTATATGATTTCTCGTAAAAAAATATAATATATATTAACTTATAAAAAATACAAATTCTTATGTGTTCTTATTCAAATTCCTTGTACAAATCAGTCAAATATGAAAATTTTTCATTACTTCATGTGTGTCAAAAATAATCAATCAAGGATTTTAAAGCAAATATAGCCCCGAGAAAAAAAGGGATGCATTTAGTTCTTCCCTTTGGCAACGGTTATAAAGTTACTGCATTAAAACTGAAATTTGAATAGGTTATGTACAATGAAAGTTGCAACTTACAATCCAATGATAGAATGAATGAAAT